AAAGACGGTTGGACGATGGACTCATCCACTTACACTTTGTTACTTAACACTACGTCTCCATCCTACACCTAGAGTATACCATAGAATTAGTTGTTGTTAACCGTGGGTGCTGTGAATCTAAGAGGATCGCAGGACTACAGCGGAGCAAAAGATAAGTCCTCACTTTCATATTTCAATTATTGACTATTTTACTATCCTTATCACCATTACTTTTACAATGATATCCCCACCAACTATCCAACGGGACTTGTTAAGCAAAGCTTCTTAACCCGTATAAATGCATTGTTCATTGTTCATTATTTAAACTAATTTTCAACATTTCTGGTGGGTCTAAAGGTAAAGCTGTGGTAACTCCCATGTTGCCCCGCCTCATCAAACGAGGCTACTTCGGAATCAAAGACAAGATTTGTCTGTGCAAGTACAATTGCAACGAATCTTACTACCTATTTTTATTACCAGCGTATTGTTGTTGTAACCCTATGGTTCTTTCGATTCTCATAGATGGAATGCAAGAAAAGGTTTTCACTAACAGTTAAAACATTCAGAGTATCCAAGTGAATTCTGGTCGACACGACCTAAAGGATCTAGCGGTCAAGTATGTGTTAGCGCGAGATGAAAATTGAACCAAAACGGGTTACTTCGCATCAGTGCGCCAAAACTCTGAGGCAAGCCCAACTGACAGCATTAAGATGTTCACCGACTATCTCAAATGAGAACATTACCTCAACAACTTCATACCTGTAACACAAAAGCACGTCACAAAGATGCGTAAGCTATAGAAGAAGCGACAGACTAGGGAACACGAGCTAACTCCTAGTGGAAGGGTCAATGAGCACAGTTCTGTTGAGGTCCGTGTGGCTTGTTACGGAGACTGAGATTAATATCATTGAAAAGATCTCAGGTGGAATCTGTGCGACCTGCTTTGACAAACAATAGTGATGCCTTTGATGGAAACTTGATTTCTAATCTTTTCGCACTGTTCAGACACAGAACGCCGGCGCGGGTGAGTAAATACTAAGTGTAACCTGGACAGTTCGAGTTACTCCAAGCATACAGCACTGCTGAACCTATGGATAAGGCAAGTTCAGGTGGTTGCTGTGCAAGATTTGGAGGAAATTTGTAAGCTCAGCAATAAATGTTTAGTAACGTTTAAACCGCCGTACCTGCAAACACGATTGCCACAGGAATCCAGGCATTGTCTTGAAACATGTTAGTCAGTGGTCCATTTTTGAATTGGAAACTACTAGTTATATGCAACTTTATACAATAAAGAACCTACAACAACCAATCCATACTCAACATCCAGTAAAATCCTAAATTTCCCTCCGTTACTTCCCTTACATGCATTGTAAAATTGCTTCATTACTTGCACATTTAATTCCATTTTGACTGAAGATATTGATAAGATAAACCGATAAATAGGCCGTTAACCATTTAATCTTAATGTTAAACCCTGAGATAACTGATTCTGAGATCAATCTACCCGGTATATCGCTGCTTCGGACGGATAGAACCGGTAGGGGTGGTTGTGTGATTCTTTACTATAATACAAACCTCCGATGTGAAGTTATCCATCACCCGAAAATCCGAGCTCCTGATTCTCTTTGGTGCCGCCTACTATTGCGAAACAAGGGCACATGTCTATTAGCATTGATTTATTAACCACCAAACTCAACGACGGAAATGAACTCCAAACTGAACTACTTCTTTCAGTTTGCTTTGAAAGGTCCTACCCCCACATTCTTATCGCTGGAGACTTTAATGTACACGGCATAAAAACGCCGGCAACTGATGGTATGCAGTTTAAAGCCTGCTTGCAAGAGCTAATTGCTAGCAACTCTCTGTACAACCACGTAACCTCTCCCACCAGATTACGAACTGCTAAAAAGCCGTCGATACTGGATCTCGTGCTAACTAACGAAGAACTCATGGTTGACGGGATAGTCACAAGCACACCACTGGGTCGTAGTGATCATGTTACTCTACTCTTTGACTATATATGCTATGCGGAGTACTCTGAAAAGGAGGAGGATAAAGTGCATACTATCACGCACCACAATGTGTTATCTAAGCTTGTTAAGGATACATCTTGGACTGTTTTAACCGATTGCCCCCCAGATGTTGTCTGGGACACATTTACAAGGACGTTTAGCACGCTGGTTGCGCAAGCATCGGAACAGAAATTCTTCCCACGCAATAACAAGCTTAAGTCATTTCTGAGGAGCAGGACACGTAAATGTATGTCCCGGAGAGATTTGGCGTGGCAAGATCACCAGGACTGCCCGAATGCCGAAACCTGGACTGCATACGTGACCCATCGTAACTTCTGTGTGAAACTGATCCGCGAAGACAAGGTCACTCATCAGCAGAAGTTAATGAAGCGATTCTGCACGAATCGCCAACTCCTGTACAGGCACGTTAACGGTCTTCGAAAGGTACAGCGAGGGGTTCCAGCACTAGTCACGGCTGATGGGTGCACGCGATCAGCAATGGAAGCAGCTGATCTCCTACGGCTTCATTACTCCCAAGCTTTCCAGCAGGTAACGAGCCCAAACATTCTCCTCATTTCTAATACTCCACCATCTGGTTTAGACAACATCACCTTCACTGCGGAGGCTGTGTTGAAGAAGTTGTTATCCTTACGTATCCACAGTTTTCCCGGAGCTGACAACATCTGACCGAGGACTTTACAGGCGGTAGCTGGTGATCTAGCAGCAACACTGGCTGTTTTCTATCAACGATGTCTAGAAGAGAACCGTATTCCACTAGTATGGAAGTAAGGGGTCATCACTCCGATCCATAAAGGAGGTAGCCGCACTGATCCTGCCAACTACCGTCCAATAACACTACTTCCCGTACTATAAAATTGATGGAGTCATTCATCGCAGATGCGTTGGTGCAATACCTGGAAAGCCACAATTTAATAGCTCCAGAACAACATGTCTTTCGTTACAGGTATTTGTGTAATACTAAGCAATTAATTTTCATTTAATAGCTGGATTGAAGCTGTTGATGATGGAGTGGGAGTCGATGTAATCTACCTGGACTTTACAAAAGCATTTGATCGCTTAGACCATCGAATTCTCCTTCAGAAGCTTCGGAACTACGGCATTGGCGACACAATCCTGAGTTGGGTTGGCAATTTTCTACTAGAATGACTGCCAGTGGTGAGAGCCTGAGAATCATTGTCTGCTGCAATCGATGTGGCGTGTGGAGTACCAAAGACTCGGTTGTTGGACCTCGTCTATTCTTGGTGTTCATTAACGATTTGGCGAAATCAATTATTTCCGATTTCCTATTTTTCGCTGATGATATCAAGAAATGGCGAAGGATTAAAGAACCGGACGACCATGAACGGCTCCAGTGCGATCATAACACAGTGTCGAACTGGTCAGTTCAAAGCGCCCTACAATTCAACGTAGACAAATGTCGCGTTGTACAATTACGTCATAAACATAACTACACATATTTACTTCGGACAAACGGAATCAAGAATAGCTCCCAGGAGCGTGACCTTGCTGTGATCGTACAGAGCGACCTCAACTGCACAAAACAGGCTGAGATAGCTGCAAACAGTGGCAACCAGCACGCAGGCATGCTTCGAAGTGCATTCGGCAGATTTGACCTAACAATCTCCCCAATTATGCACAATTCCTACGTGCGCCCGCATGTTGAATACGGTATCCAAGCTCAGCAACTTTGGTTGAAGCGCGACCTAGAAGCGATAGAGACACTACAACGAAGAGCAACAAAGAATGTAAAGGGCCTGCGCTATCACTTTTACCACCGAAGGCTGAAGTTGCTGGGAATTTTCAGCGGACGCTATCGAAAGCTGCGCGGTGATCTCATTTTAGCGTATCAGATACTGAGTGACCCCAACCACGTATGCCGCCATTTGCTGAAACTTAGCCACAACACGCTGCTCAGGGGTAACTGATTAAAATTGAAGGAACAATATAGCCGTCTAGATTGTCGACGGAATTACTTTTCCCTTCGGGTTTACCAATCCTGGAACGCACTCCCAGACTCAGTTTTATCCGCTCCTACCTTGGATGTTTTCAAAAATCGATTAGATGTTGCTCTTAGCTCCCAGCATTTTGTTATCCAAACTCTTCTAAAGTGGATTACGCCAAGTGTGCTTTTCAACAGTATTTATGTATCAAATGGACCTAAGTAAGCGACCATATTTTACTTTTCTCACTCCTTACATCAACGATCACTGCACCACAGTGTCTTTCTGAAGGTTTACGCTCGATAATTTTTTGATTTTACAGTTTAATTTTACAGTTTTCAAATTATTCATCTCGGCAGACGTTCGATAGATGACTCAGATATATTTTGATTTCATGATATTCACCGCAACCATCCTACGGGACGTGTGAAGCATTTGTTTTTATTCTGTGATAAATCATTGTTCATTGTTCATTGTTACCGAAATGTAGCACTGCTGCCTAAGTTAAACACCATAATATGCCGAAACTAGGTGCCGCAAAACTTTGGCTATTCGAATAAAACAGCTCGTTATAGCCATTACATCATTCCGTCGTTTAGCGTATCACTGTCTAAGGTACTGCTTGGCTGCACATGCCGATCACAGTCACAAAATATAAACCGGGAATCACAAAATGCAGTAAACCATGTCCAATTTCATTGCTTGATTTAGAAAGAAAAATTAAGCTTCTATTGATGTTCAAAAAAGTGATACACAAATATGCATCAATTTTATATGAGACATGGAGCACCCAACTAGCAGATATATGATCATCACATTCCTTAGCAGAGGGAACATTATTTTGTTATGCCCAAAACACTGAACTGAAGAAAAGGATTCGTAGAAGTTAGTAAACCCCGGTCGCAACGTTTTTATTTAATACATACAAATTAACTGAAATCAGTGGCGGATTGTCCTAACTTAGTCTAGTATTTTTGCACTCATTTCATGGTTTGAGAATGTTGCAAAATAGACTTGAGTCAATCCGAATACGTCTACTCTCTTCCAGTCGCTCCAACAGCAGTCAGTCTTAGTGCGATTCCTCGTAACGGAATTCAAGAAAATAGCGGTCAACAGCTTCTTGAATGCATAACGACGTCTGCTATTCCTGCGGCTCAAATTACTTGGTATCGTAGGAAACCAGCATATAATTTGGGGCCGACAAGTAGCACTACTTCAACCATGCATCTGCAGCACGCAACAGCTGAAGATCCTTTGCAATTGACAAAAGAAGACATTTTGATTCAGAATGGAGTAGCAATGGAGAAAGTAGGTTTATTTCTGTTTTGCTCATGATGAGAAATAACATTTGTGTTAGTGGCTTAGAGAAAAGCTGCTTTGATTGGTTGTTACTAATCATGTGGACATAGAATCTGACTGCTAAGTCTAGAAAGCCAAATTTTCTATCCTCCTGTCTTGCTAAGTGCATTTTTGAATTCACTTGATAAAAGTCCAACTAACTAAATTTCTCGCGAATAAGTATTATGCAAAAGAGAAGCTTGAAATTTACTTTAAATTGTTGAGGATTCAAATATTTACATGTATTCGAAAGCATAAAGATGGCTTCGCTTCCGTCAATGTCTTGGAGAAATATTACCCGGTTCTTCTTTTTAAATTCTCAGCGTCAGACAAGCTTGGGTGAACAGTTTTAAGTTCCCATTACACTAATTTGTGCAATTTAATGGTTTATCATTTATGATGGTTTGCGTTAATAAAAAACTTTTAACTAGACACACTTCCAAAAGTACTTCCCACATAAAGTAATATAAAAGTCCATTTAGTTTATATAAAAAGATTGTTTCGGTATCTTTCATAAGCGTCACTTAGTATTAAATAATGCTTTAGAAAATTGCGTACAGACTGGCTTATGTTGTCGATGGGCCACAAGTTATCATCAGATTGAGTATATTCAACAGGTTGTATTAAGCAAAATATTCAAGGGTCAAACTAAGTAACCCTTGCGGTTTATTACAATAAATTCCTCATCTACATCGCTGCCTGAAATCCTGCAAGTACCGAGTACTTTTCTAGCCGATTGGGTTAGTTTTCTTAGTGCAAATAATAACAGAAGGACACTTATTAATCACATTTTCTAAAAAAATCTTAAATGCTTGTTTTGGATACCGTGTAGCGCCCTTCATCAACTATCCTGGTTTTAGAAGCGACATTTATTATATTCTAAAGTTGAATCTATTTTTTATCGGGTGATAGCATTTGTTGGTGTTTTCTCTGTCATTAAAGAATATACAATAGACATTTTCCATTATACACGACACGAAACTGGGCAAGAGTGTACGGACGGTACGCATTCGTATAATGCATTTTGTAGTCCGCGACCAGTGCTAACCTTCTTTGCAGCAACTGAATTACCGGAACAGTGTTCGGTAATCATAGAGCGCATAATCATTTGTCACTACACAACAATTAGAGTCATTGCTGCTATGTCTATGTGCATATTAATTCCTAGTACACTATGAACTTGTATCTATAGACGTGCAAGTTAATCCGAATAAACCGAGTAAGGGAAAGCTTACCGTCATTCTTCTACGAGCCTGAAAGTACTTGAGCGGATTCGTTCAGTACCAACTTAAAAGCATTCGAGATCTTTTATCATCTTATCGTTTTGCATAACAGCTTCATTTTCTCGAAATCAATCAACTGAGATTGAGGCTGAATTTTGTTAACACTTGTAAATGCATAATATATATATGCGCCAGCTTACCACCAGACAGGAATCGTAAGGCTGTTAAATTGTGGGCTACTTATATCTAGTTAGCTGACGTGAACTTCATGGACCTAAACAGATGATATAACTGTCAGGATATATTAGATTTCCAGTGTCTGGAAGCAAATATTTTTAGACACAGTATCTTCGAGTGTTCTGCAAGACACCCGTCTTGTTAACCGATGAGCCGTGTATTAAGCGTGTGTGGCTTAAGTGACTCTTCAATTATCTGACGGTTCCGTACCTTGACTGTGTGCAATTCGCATCCACCACAACCCGAATACTAGAAACATTTGTACACTCATCACAGTCTATTGCTTTACTTCTCGCTGGTAAATTTGCCTCAAGTTCATGTCCACCCATTACCCAACTGCATCACGGCATTAAGCATCTTGAATGTGCCCTTCCTTCAAACAGCTTCCAGGACTGTACGGTGGCAAGCGAGTGGTCAGTCGTCTCCACTTGTCAAACATCTCGCGCATAGATGATGGAGTGGTTTACATTTGTAAAGTCACTCACGTTGAATGGATTCGCAGCATTGGCAGACTACATCAGTTAGCAGTGTTATGTGAGTCTGCGTCGAAATATTGAAACATGATAAATGCAATTTAATTTGATTATAATGCCCCGCAACGTCAAGTTTCAATGTTTCGCTAAAATGAGATAAACCTTAGGTTGGGAAGTTAAGAGGTTGATGTCTGTCAGTATGCAGTATAATTGGCTGCATAAATGTTACGTGATCGGACAATTATGCTAGCTAATACGGCGAGTCTTAGATAAAAAAGCGTATGTATGACTGAACTTGAATTCGAAAAACTACTGTAAGTTTACTGCAGTAACCAGCTGGTCAAGGGACCAGTTATATACTTAAGTCTCCTCTCCTATTTAGTAATGATTGTGCAGATAGTAGAATGCTTTATATTGATAGCAGTACGTGGAAGTTTGGCATTAGAACGTTTCACTCAGATACGATAATCCTCATATATACTGCAGGTTCATCTGAAGAAACTGAATGAACTGTGGTAAGCTCAGGTTTGATGGAGATCAAAATCGAACTGAGTCCAGATCAGTTGGATCTCTGGGGCATAAGATGAAGAAGACAAATACTCGGTGTTTCTCACACCCAACAATCCACACCCCAACTTGTTTTTCAAATTTTCGTAGTTTCTTCAGGTAAAGTAAACCAACGTTTTGTCATAGGCTACCATGTAAAAGACAAGTATTGCCCAAACTTGTAATGGGTGGTTCACGGATCATTTGAAATAACGTTGTGGGAACAAATATCGGCACCCGACATGGAGTTGAAGCGTGACACGCTTTGAAATGCAACTGGCACAAATCATCCTGCAGTTAACATTTCAGATACTACTGAATCCGGGACTTCGGACTAATTTACATACACGTCAACCTTACTTGCGGTGCAAGCTGACGTTACATGCAAACGCTGGTTAAAACAGGTCCACAATGAGACACAAACTTTTGTGACAAGGGTTGTTCCAGACCCGATGTCGCGTGCTTAATGCTTCCGCTGTCGGTCTCCACATTTAGCGTATGAGTCGAAATTTCGCTTTTTACTTCATGAGAGAAAACTAGTACAAACTAATATTAGAGTGAGTTTTTTGGGAGAAAAGATCCAACGATTATCCAATATCTACATGGTTATTACCGCACGTCTCCGTTCATCTGTTTAGAGCTAACATGTTAAATTTGGTTAAATTGCTGCATGATTTTGAAACGAATAGCATTTTATAGCAAAACCTGTGGTACAAGCTTACTATCACATGGCGGCGACCTGGCACAATTGAGCACTGGTTTATGACGGGTAAAAATGCAAATGCTTGACAAGTCCCGCAGGATAGTTAGGGCGAAAATTGCATGATAAGAAAGCAGCCTCGGTGCGAATGTTACCCAAAATACCTGACTAACTAAGAGGTTAAGGGCAACATAGGTGTGAGTTTTCCTGCCTCGAGTTCGAGTGGATTATGACAACATCACCTATTGTACTGCTCTAATACCCGCATGTGGCAAGATATCCTCAAGGTGTCTTTTGAAAGTTTATAAGGTGAGGGCATGATTTATACGTGCCGGGAGAGCATTTTAGGACCGTGACTATCGAAGGGAGAAAAGGTTCATCAACATTCCATTCGGCTGCACTACGAGGCCAAATAGAGCTAATGACACCTCGTAAGGTGCATCACCGTGCTGGCTCAGAAACGTGACAAACTGTCATCTTTTTGCAGCCTGCGACAGCTGATCTAGCGGTCACATCAGCTGTGTCGGAACTCGATTTCGGTTACCAAAATATATGTTCAAACCTGAAACAGTATATCCAAAATAGTGTATAGTTAACGATATAGAGCCTGCAGCACCAAACTCGAGAACTAGCAGCTAGTGTCTGCCAACCCAGGCAATCCCAATTTCACAGAGATTGGTTCCTCCAGAGGATGTGTCTGTTTTAAATGACACACTATTGCTTTCGGGTTTACCTAACACTGGTGAAATTCTGAAAAGTTACGAACCTGTTGTTTCCACATGCAAACTCAGGACAACTTTAGCGGGTACATCTGCAAGTACTCCAATTGGTGTTAGATATGACACGAATACCAATGCGCTTCCGAGAAGACCGCCCACCACGCCGTCAGTAAAAGGGGAACTATCTTATCCAAAATTACGAACTAAGAAGACTCAGAACTCCATGCAAATAATATGCTTCAACCTGCCAGAATCAGACAGGCCCTATTACGGACAAACTGCTGGGCGTTTTGAAACCATGGGGAGCCATATGCTATGCTATGGGAATCCAGGCCAAACTCAGTTCACTATAGCGAGCTAAGGCTACTTCAGGTGACATTTTAGTCGGATGACGAATAGGAGACCTCCCACTTGTCAAATCACCGTCTTCGTGATTCGTCATGCGGCTTTGGTATTTTTCATGACATCCCTTAGAGTGAGCGTCGGCAAAGGAAACAAAACCCAAAAGTATGCCCCAAGCAAAACGGCGAAAGATAGACATCTGTCCATGGTGTCAATGAAATCCTGTCATTGAAAAGTCGCAGGCCCAAGCTCATGACTTGGAAGATTCGTGGTGTACATCCGTGACACACTCTCTCTCCATAACCTGATTACCAATACGGCGTTAAGGTTGCCCATATCATCCTACTATAAAGGAAGTGGTCTAACGGTATTGAAATTCATGCTACGATTTGGCACACTTACTCATCAAGCTGGCATCAGAGATACGTCTGAATGCTGTCAAAGCCAGGTCAAATTTGGGTGTGGAAACACTAGACAAGCGAGATGTTTCCGCGATCCCCGCTGTTTGTATTTTCAAACAGAAACGCAGTGAAACTCCCTAACCACCCGACTAGGAAAGAACGGAAAATCCTTTGCAAATCGTTTCTAAAGGGCCAAGTAGTAATTTCACTATGTAACTGATTGAAACAGCACTTGAGGTTGGACAAGTATAACAATGGAAAACGATTGCCAGGTGGCTCCACAATGGACAGCATAAATACTCGGGAAACCTATGTAATTTCAAAAATGCTTCTGGCACCCATTGTTATCATTTGTCCTTCTACCAACGTCCATGGGCTTCTCAGGACATTGGCAGAACTTCAATCTCGTAAACCCTTAGTGTGTTGGGACCTCAGCACGGTAACAGAGACAAGGATGGTCAACTTCCTCACTTAAGTCAGCTGAATCTCAGAGCCCGCAGCTCCATTTCCGCCCCAATTGACGTCCAGCGTGGCTTACCCCAAGGGTCCATTCTGTGAAACCTTACATCCATGGATTCATCAACGATCTTGCCAGTATACTGCAATCGAATTACTTACTATTTTCAGATGATATCAAAATTTGACATGATATCAGCACAGCAGATGATCACTTGGCATTGCAGAGCGATCTCGACAGGTCTTTCGCTTGGTCATCCGATAACCGGCTTCAGTTTAACGTGGCGAAGTACAAAGTCGTAGGCATACGCCATCAGCATATCTATGGCAATCGACTTAGGGACCAGCAGTTGCAACGTGCTTCCCAAGAAAACGACTCCGGGTGATCGTGCGCTGCGATATTGATTGCACGAGACAGCTGAAAAGGCATCGAAAATAGCCAGTCAACACAACTGATTCTTACAGAGTGCTTAAGAAAATTTTGAGCCATCAAACTTTCCGCAAATTCTGAACGGCTACGTAAAGTCCCACTTGCAGATGCGATCAAGACCTGGTGTCCCTGGCGCAAAAGCGACATTAATACACTTAAACTCCACAACATACAGTGACCAAACTAGTTAGAGGATTGGAGGGTCGAGTTTGGACTACACGTTGTGTGATTGGATTGCGACGCGCAATCTCAATGTAATGGACTGTGGTTCACATTGAAGTGAACTTTAGTCACTGCGATCACTGGGACCGTACTCAAAGTAGATGGAAATTGGGTGTTGCCCATCCGAAGTACACTGCACAACCACGACGCGTTTCGATGTAATTTCATCTCATCAGGTAAAGAGAGCAGGCCTTGATCCCGCGACCATGTGAATAGTAGCCGAAACCACTACCCTTTGGCTACCGGGTCACGGTGGGCAACGCTTGGCACAACGGTAAATGGCTAATTGGAGGGTCAAGTTTGGACTACACGTTGTGTGATTGGATTGCGACGCGCAATCTCAATATAATGGACCGTGGTTCACATTGAAGTGAACCTTAGTCACTGCGATCACTGGGACCGTACTCAAAGCATTGAACACGGTAAAATTTTGGTTTAACCTGGCGCCCAAACAAGCAACTTATTACTACGTTTCGTTATATGCCATAACTCTAATTAAAATCTACTGAATTGTAAGATGATTCCTCGCAGCTATACTCAGGTAGGCAGTTACTACACATCCGGGAAAGCATTAGACAGTCATTTCGTCCTATTGGGACTCGTCGGTAGCGCGCACTCACGGAATACTACCGGATTCGTACCCAAGACCTTATTCTTACCTACCAATGACTTATGTCACTGAGCCATGGGTGATGGAAGTGGAGCGCAGACTGCGTTATAGCGCGGCTCATCGTCCACTGTCATGTATGCTAGAAACGAGCAGAACACAGGCCTCCCGAAAAGCCTTACTGGAAGTGCAGTGGCGGTCTATCTGGGACAAATCTGCACAACAACCCAATAGATCCCCCTACTACTCACCGTTGAATTTGTTATTGGATTCAAAGATATGTTTCTTATAACAATGAAAATGCATTTTGAGCTGCCTATGCAATGCAATTAGTCACAAACACGGTTAACCTATTTGTGAGTAAAATATCCATGATATTATGCAACACGTGACTAGTGAACGCGACTTAGGTATACTCGTGCAAGAGAGTCTTGGAAATTTGCTCCAATGTTCGAAAGCAGCAAGTGTGACGAACTTGAACTTGAGGCGAGCTCTCGGAACTTTTGAGCGATAGCTAGTACCATTGCTGATTAACTCCTACATTCGTCCTCACGTTGAATATGCAATTCAGGTCTGGTGTCCATGGTTAGAACGAGACATCCGCCTATTGGAACAGCCCCAAAGAAGAGCCACAAAGG